AGCCACGCTCAAGGTCCTAAACTATATTATAACCGCGATCGATAATAGACAGTACTGTGCAGGCGTCTTCATCGACCTTGCCAAGGCTTTCGACTCTGTCAACCACCGCATTCTTATTGGCAGACTAAATAGCCTTGGTTTCTCAAATGACTGCCTCGCCTGGTTCACCAACTACTTCTCAGATAGAGTTTAATGTGTCAAATCGGAGGGCCTGTTGTCTGGACCTATGGCAGTCTCTATGGGGGTGCCACAGGGTTCAATTCTTGGGCCGACTCTTTTCTCTGTGTATATCAATGATGTCGCTCTTGCTGCTGGTGACTCTCAGATCCACCTCTACGCAGACGACACCATTTTGTATACATCAGGCCCTTCATTGGACACTGTGTTAACAAACCGCCAAACGAGTTTCAATGCCATACAACACTCCTTCAGTAGCCTCCAACTGCTCTTAAACACTAGTAAAACTAAATGCATGCTCTTCAATCGAACGCTGCTGGCACCTGCCCACCCGACTAGAATCACTACTCTCGACGGGTCTGACCTAGAGTATGTGGACAACTACAAATACCTAGGTGTCTGGTTAGACTGTAAACTCTCCTTCCAGACTCACATTAAGCATCTCCAATCCAAAGTTACATCTAGAATCGGCTTCCTATTTCGCAACAAAGCCTCCTTCACTCATGCTGCCAAACATGCCCTCGTAAAACTGACTATCCTACCGATCCTTGACTTCGGCGATGTCATTTACAAAATAGCCTCCAACACTCTACTCAGCAAATTGGATGTAGTCTATCACAGTGCCATCCGTTTTGTCACCAAAGCCCCATATACTACCCACCACTGTGGCCTGTACGCTCTTGTTGGCTGGTCCTCACTACATATTCGTCGCCAAACCCACTGGCTCCAGGCCATCTATAAATCACTGCTAGGCAAATCCCCGCCTTATCTTAGCTCATTGGTCACCATAGCAACACCCACCCGTAGTATGCGCTCCAGCAGGTATATCTCACTGGTCATCCCCAAAGCCAACACCTCCTTTGGCCGCCATTCCTTCCAGTTCTCTGCTGCCAATGACTGGAACGAATTACAAAAATTTCTGAAGCTGGAGACTCTTATCTCCCTCACTAACTTTAAGCATTAGTTGTCAGAGCACCTTACCGATCACTGCACCTGTACACAGCCCATCTGAAATTAGCCCACCCAACTACCTCATCCCTATATTGTTATTTATTTTGCTCATTTGCACCCCAGTATCTCTATTTGCATATCATCTCTTGCACATCTATCATTCCAGTGTTAATACTAATTGTAATTATTTTGCACAATAGCCTATTTATTACCTTACCTCCATAACTTGCTACATTTGCACACACTGTATATATATTTTCTGTTGTATTTTTGACTTTATGTTTTGTTTTACCCCATATATAACTCTGTGTTGTTGTTTTTATCGCACTGCTTTGCTTTATCTTGGCCAGGTCGCAGTTGTAAATGAGAACTTGTTCTCAACTGGCTTACCTGGTTAAATAAAGGTGAAATAAAAAAAATGCTTGTTTTGGCACAAACTGAAATTAGACTAACCATTAGAATTTTAGCGTCCAGGAAATGACGGTGCAATTTCTGCATAGTGCATCTTTAAATAAAGGATTTTTAAAAAGCTGATAGCTGTAACGGCAATACATTAGCAATATAAGTGTATGAAACTAACTTACCAAAGTTGACTATTCCTTGAACTAAATGGATGACAAATGCTCTAGATGTATTTTAGAAATGATATGATCTTCACCTATCTATCATAAGTCCTCTCCTCTACAATATGAATACAGTTTGAACTACAGTTTGTGATGTTAGTTTGACCTCCGCTCAGTGACCACACTCTATCTTAAGACATGCAGAGGTCAGCTGACACACCTTTCATTTATAGCTTCCAGACAACAACCGAAAGGTCAATAATTAGACTCACAGTATAAGCACATGTTTTAACCTAAATGCCCATAATGTTACTCTTCCTACAACATCAGTGTCTTCCTAGTTAGTTATTTTTTTTCTTCTTTTTTTTTCTGGGGGATGGATCAGCTTAATATTGCAGATAGATTGTATCTTCTATCAATGTAATTGTCTGCATCACTTCCAATCCCCCATGTTTTTTATATATATACTCCCCTTTATTACTTTTCAACCCCGCCATCCTTTCCCTACTTGGAGTAAATTAGTGAACATCAATGCCCAGGCCTCTACTTCCGGTCTATACTTACTATCTACACTTTATGGACACAGTTAATTTTACAATAATTCTATTATATATATATATTTTACTCCTGAACTTCTTCTTCTCTCAACCTCTCCGATCATTTTCATGATGTCCATCCGGTTTGCTTCTAAATGCCATATCTTTCTAACTGTGCTCTTTCCCAAAAGCTCCCAACATACAACCTATATACTTATTATGGACACAGTATGCTTACATTATTAGCTATCTTTGTTATTATTTGTTGTTATTTGTTATTAGTCCCATCCTTCAACTCTATTCAATACCTCCCATCTATCTCTTAACACCATCCATATAGGATTTCTATTTGCCATATATATTTCAACCGTACTGTGATGTTTTACAAAAGTTCTGAACCTTTCTATTCTCATTGCTTCTACAGATTGTGAATTAAAAATAAACATTTTTGCTAAAAGTATTATACCTTTTTTAAACATTCTGTCAAATAATAATGGTTTTTTGTCAATTAGTATATTTGAATTTAACCACAATATTTGTTGCATTATTTGTTCTGTCGTTTCTGGAGGATTACATTGAAATTGCAACTGTCACGCCCTGGCTCTAGGGACTCTAGTATGTTGAGCCAGGGTGTGAGTTTTCATTTGTTTTTCGTTTCTAGTTGTTGTATTTCTATGTTGGCCAGAATGGTTCTCAATCAGAGGCAACGAGTGTCAGCTGTTGCTCGTTGTCTCTGATTGGGAACCATATTTAGACAGCCTGTTTTCCCACAGTGGTTGTGGGATCTTGTTCCAGTGTGGTTTGTGTTAGACTGAGGACGTCACGTTATCGTTTGTTGTTTTGTTCGTGTTATCATCATTCTTTAATAAATATGTTTACTTTTCACGCTGCGCCTTGGTCCTCTGTACCCGACGATCGTGATAGCAACCAACTTTCTATGGCTTGTTTTTAAGTATTTGTTTGTATGATGTCACTTTAGTTTTATGCAAAGTAAGTACACTGTATGTTCAATCATTTTATATAGTAAAACCTGCAAAAGAGTGAATGTAAAACCAGGGAAAAAACGCACTACCCTCACCAGTGCCCCCCAAAAACCACACAACCCTTCCCTATTTTTGACCACCCCCCACTAAACCTACATGGATGCTAGTAGCAATGGACCAAAATATCACACACAGAGCAGTATATACATAACAGTGGGCTAGCACGCTAAGCTAGGCCATGGGCTAGTAGTAGCAGACAGTATACACAAGGAAGGCTAGCATGCTAGGCTAGCAGACCAAGAGGCTGTGGGTAGTAGAACATATTATAAACAATTGGGCCTATCACGCTAGGATATTAGGCCAGAGCTGTGTAAACCCCATGTGCAGTACAGGTAGCCGCTAGTGGGACTAAGGGTTAGCGGTAGCATGCTAGAATGCTAATATGTAAACTAGCAGACATTTTGGATGTGGCTAGCAAGTGACAGGGGCATGATGATGTCATAGGCTGGCCATTTTGGGTGAGGGTGAACAATGACTGGCTGGCAGCCATCTTGACCCAGAGTAACTAATGGGGAGATATTTTTGAATACCGCACAAATGATTGAAACAGGCTGCTTTGACACTGAGAATCTGAGATCAATGAAAACGACCTTGTCTTGAATCCATTAATAGCCTAGGACTAGGTGTGTGGAGACACGCATTGTGCAATATGAGTGGGGCCGGACTACCGCATTTCAAGTCCCATTTCCTCTGAGAAAATGTAGCAGTTTTAAGCAAGTTTCCTGCTGTTCTACACATTTTGCTATCATATGCTAACAATGTTCGCTCAATAGGCCTATTTGGAAGTTGATAACATATGTTGGTAGCCTACAGCAGACTGACTAGAGTCTTCTCTCTTTTCAGCCATCTCATGAGCCATCTCATGGGGCACACACTGGTTTAATCAACGTTGTTCAACCAAGGTGGAATATACATTGAATTGACGTCTGTGTCTAGTGGGTTGCTTTCCAACCTGTGTTTTTCCCACAATTGTATTTGAAATAATTGCGAAAGGTCTGTTTTGTCTGCATGCTGTTCACTGACAGATTTGCTGTGCGTTCCTGACTATAGGCTATGCCTAGTTGTTATGCTACACACACTATATAGATGGGCTATTTTTATTAAAGAAGCTATTGATCCTTTGTGGCTAAATTATAGCCCTACACATGGTGTACTAGGCTCTTCATTGATTTCTGAACAGACAGCAGTAATTCTATACATTTGGTAATTTATTTTAATTGATCAGGGGTGTCTGGGGTGCTGCAGCATCTCCAGCACCCTTCCCACGGCTATGATTCTATAAGGAAATAAATAAATAATGAAGTGCTGCTACACATAGGCTATCAGCCAACCAGAGCGAATATTGATGATGATAAAAGTGTCAAAGTCTTTCTGCCACCCTGACAAACAAGCACTATCCAAGACTTAATAAGACACTAACAACAATGATGCTAATTGTTGAACATGTTTTACATTTATTTGCTTCTATAGTTACCAAATGTAAAAAAAAAAAAATAATAATCTGCCCATGTCTATAAGAGTAGGTCCACTAAAAACAAGTGTTAAATAAATAATTAAAACTGAGATATATAAAATATTTGCTTTGCATGAATGTGATTATATTGTATTGTGCTTTTGTTATATTTTCATTAAGAAATATTTCCACTTGAATGCACCTTCAGACTTACATTTATGCAACACAGACATATACTTACATACTGACCTAAGATCATTGCGCCACAGTTAGTGCCATGGTCTGTAATCTCTCTCAAGGGAATGGAACTCACCAATGCTATGGGGCTTTGGGAGAATCGTTGTCCTTACACCTTGGTTCAGACAGCAGTAATGAACAAATAAGCTTGAAGAAAGGTGATAAACGTGTTTTAAACTTCAAAATTGGAGACGACTGGAGATCTAAATTGCCTCAGGATTATGTGAATCGCTCTGAGTTCTTTAATAATGGAATATACAGACTGGACACAGTTATAGACGACGACTCTGGAGATTACCTGTTGGAAATACATAATTCAGAGGGAACAATGTTGGGCAGAGTCAACATGCTACTTGACATGCAAGGTACAGAACCTTTCTGTTTTTTTAGTTAGGCCTAAATACTTCACACATCCTTTTCCTGATGAGGGGGATTTCTGAAAGGTCGCCAGGATGTCAGTACTTCAATAGGTTTATAATGTAGGACTTGGCAGCAGTAGTACAACACAGAGAGAACATTGTTATGACATATAGAGTATATAATGCTTAATGAATATATTGTGTTTGCATGAATCAGAGGTAGGGTATTTGAGGTATCTCTTGTGTTTGTGTCTGTCAGCCCCGGTGTCAGAGCCAGTGTTGTCTCACCTCTGTCTGCCTCATGGAGAGACCGTGGTCACATGCTCTTCAGAGGAAGATGGTCTTCAGTACAGCTGGACCCTGAACTTGTTTTTAGTGGACCCACTCTTACAGACATGGGCCAATTATTTTATTTATTTTTTACATTTGGTAACTATAGAAGCAAATAAATGTAAATTTGAATTAGCAGAACATGTTCAACAATTAGCATCATTGTTGTTAGTGTCTTATTAAGTCTTGGCTAGGCCTTATACTCTGTTCTGTGTTATATCATGTCTCACCTTGTGCTGCTGCTGCTGTCACCACCAGAACTATAGTAATCAGAGGATCCATTTCTCTTCAGCCTGCACAATAGGAGTGACATTTAGCAGAAGTCTCACAGGAGCAGTACCATCAAAACTGTGTGAATTGATGTGAACGGATCATAATGTGCTGATACTCTACAAATGAAAGACAGGCTTGTAGACAAGACAACGTGCTTGTTTGTCAGGGTGACAGAAATACTTTGACACTTTTGTAAGCAGTGCATGCCTGGTGTGAACAGCAAACCACAAGAATACTGGGCCTGCTTGCAAAACATTATATGTTGTTAGGCATTTACTACCATTTTATTTTATGATGATTGTCCACAGGTGATATGGATGAATAGAGAAAATTATATATCTAAAACATAACCCAAGGAACACAATTAAAAGGTCACTAACTTGAACCCTGATTAACTGCAATGGAATAAACATATTCAAAAAAGCAAAACCTATTATTTAATTTTTGATTTGAGCAAATATTTTCTTACTTACTTTTTAAAAAATCTGCATTGTTGATTGAGGGCTTGTAAGTAAGCATTTCACGGTAAGGTTGTATTCAGCACATGTGACAAATACAATTTCATTAGATTTTTGAGTTGATTAAATTCTTTGATCCATTACAACCATTATCAATATCATTGTAGAGATCCTGACAATAGTTCCCAATGTACTATTTTTCTTGTTGTAAAGATTGGTTTCGTTAGTAATGGTACCTTGGGAAGGTTAATTCTGTATGGGCCAGTTTTCTTGACAGAGATTAAGCCTAGTCCGCAACTAAAAAACATGATCAATAAAGTATGTCTATTGAAATAGCTTTTTAGTCCAGGACGAGTCTATCCGGCCAACCAGCAAAGCATTAATATATGTTCAACCATATAATTTACCATCATAATCACAAATTATTATCAATTGCATGCAATTTATAGTAGCCTGGAGCCTACATTATCATAAATTAATTTTAAAAAGACCAGTCTTTTCCTCAAGTATCAGTCTTCATATATAACTCATGCAGTAACCTTAAAACTCATGTGATGAAGAAAATGCATATAAATATACTGACCAGATTCACTCACCAAAGTCTAAATAGTAAAAATCTAAAGTAAAAAAGGACTAAATGTATTTACTTTAGAAAAGTATTATGCTCTTCACGTAGCTATCATCTCATCTCGGTCCTCTCTTCTATAGTATGAAAACTATTTGAACAACAGTTTGTGATCTTTGACATCCGCTCACACTAGCCAGTGACTAGACTATCAACCTGGTCTCAGAGCATTTCATATTATTCTGTACATAAATCTAAGAAACCCATTTAGTATGATATGTTACGCTTCAGATTGGTATGTAATAATTTGTGGATGTTGTTACAGGAGTGGTTCGCAGTTCCGGAGCAACCCACTAGGTGTCAACCTCCGACAACTTTAGGCACCTCCTCACTCACAGTCAGGACTAATCATCTTCCTATTGGTGTCACCTGTGTCTATCTGATTCACCTGTGTTCCCTTGCTCAGTTTTCTCTGCTAGTTTCACTATGCCAAGCAGTACTAATCAGTGTCTGATCACAGGATGTATGGACAGGTACGTGAGAAGTGTTCTCCCTGTTTATTGATTATTTCAGTCATAGTTAGTATTTCATATTTTTGCCTGCCTTTTTTGTCTGCCTGCCTTTTTTGGAGTCTTATTTGCTCCACCTTTTTTTTGTGTGTAAAGTCTGTTATTTTGTATCCTGGTTTCGGGACCATCAGTAAAGTTCCTTGTTTCACCATCTTTGCCTACTGCCTACTGTCTAACTTGCACCACACCTGGGTCACACCTCACACCAACACTTACAGAAAACTGAGCCACTATGGACCCAGCAGAGGCAGCATAGTATCATAGTTCATTGGCAACGCAGGGAGCCATGCTGAACCAGCACGACCGCAGCCTGCAGCAGATCACCGAGAATCTCCGCCAGCTGACGATCGCCGTGCAGAGCCGGGTGGACACCCGACCAGCACCGGCAGCCGGCGGAGCGGAAGTCGCGGCAGCGTCATCTCCAGTCTCGTCTGGGACATCGCGGGAACCCCGCCAACCACCTCCGGAGAGGAACGACGGACGTCCAGAGGGCTGCAGGGAATTCCTCACCCAGTGTTCCCTGATATTCAGCCTACAACCCTCCTCCTTCCCGACGGAGCAGGGCCGGCTGGCCTACATTATCACTCTGTTGACGGGTCGGGCCCTTTCTTTGGCTACCTCGGAGTGGGAGAGCCAAACTCCGGCATGCTCCGATTCCTACCTATTCACCCGGGAGCTACGCAAGGTTTTCGAGTATGGGAGGATATCCAGTTTTTCATTGTGGACTCTCCGGAGTGTCCCCTCGTCCTCGGGCACCCCTGGCTGGTCGCCCACAAACCCCGGATAGATTGGTCCACTGGGCGGCTCATCCTGCAGGGAGGCGACGTCCTGTTCCGGTCTACACCGACCACTCATCAGCCCAAACCACCGTCCCAGACCACCTACCAGTCCTCACCTCTTCCCCAGGTCCCGCACTCCGAACCGCCTACCAGGAGGACGGCGGCTACAGACTCCGTCACCGCCCAAGACCTGGAAGGCGTTCCCCGGGAGTATTGGGATCTGGGGGAGGTGTTTAGTAAGAGGCATGCCAAGGGTCTATTTCCTCATAGACCATACTACTGTGCTATCGATCTCCTGCCGGGCACCATGCCCACACGAGGGCGATTGTATTCCTTGTCCCGGCCGGAGACGCTGGCCATGAGGGAGTATATCGATGAGGCACTCGTCGAGGTTCACATCCATCCCTCTACAGTCTCCTTCCTGGGGTTCATCGTCACCCAGGGGGACCTACGGATGGACCCAGCCAAGGTCAGAGCGGTACTGGATTGGCCCCAAACAACTACAACGGTTTTTAGGGTTAGCAAATTTTATAGGCGATTCATTCGCAATTTTAGCTCCCTAGCCGCTCCCCTGACAGCCCTCACCCAGGCAAGCGTTCGCTCCTTTGCCTGGACCCCAGAAGCGGGGAACACATTTGATGCGCTGAAGCGGCGCTTTACATCGGCCCCGGTCCTCAGGCATCCTGATCCGTTCCTGCCGTTCATTGTGGAGGTGAATGCTTCAGATGTTGCAGTGGGAGCAGTCCTATCCAAGTGGTTCCTCACGGACGGTAAGACTCACCCCAGCGCCTTTTTCTCCCTTCGGCTGTCCCCTGCGGAGCGGAATTACAATGTGGGGAACCGTGACCTGCTAGCGGTCAAGCTCGCCCTGGGGGAGTGGAGACATTGGCTAGAGGGAGGCACCCATCCATTTGTCGTATGGACTGACCACAAGAACATAGCCTACATTCAGGGGGCCAAGAGGCTCAACTCGCGCCAGGCCAGGTGGGTGTTGTTCTTCACCAGGTTCCGGTTCACCATCTCATACCATCCGGGGTCAAAGAAAACCAAGCCTGACGCGCTCTCCCGGCAGTTCGACCCCGTGGACCTGGTGTAGAGGGCCGACCCCATTGTCCCCAATGCTCTGATTGCTGCCCCAGTTTGGTGGGGAATCGATAGGCTGGTCAGAGCAGCGCTACGGCGGGAGCCCGATCCGGGTTGAGGTCCATCGGGGAGGATGTACGTACCCAAGGCTGCGCGCTCACGACTGCTTCAGTGTGCGCACGCGTCCGACCTCACCAGCCATCCGGGGGGCGCTAGGACTTTGGTGTTCCTGCATAGGATGTTCTAGTGGCCATATGCTGAGGGGGATACGCGCGCCTTCATGACTGCTTGCCCGGTGTGTGCGCGCACGAAGAGCTCACGTCAGCCCGCGGCAGGGCTGCTCCGACCCCTGTCTATCCCCAAGCGCCCCTGGTCCCACATCTCGCTGGATTTCATTTACGCCCTACCCCCCTCTGATGGATACACGGTCATCCTGGTTGTTGTGGACCGGTTCTCGGAGGCTGCCCACTTCATTCCCCTTCCCAAACTCCCATCGGCCCGGGAGACGGCTAAGTTGGTGGTGCAGCACGTTTTCCGGGTCCATGGCCTTCCCCAAGATGTGGTGTTGGATCGGGGCCCTCAGTTCACCTCCAGGTTCTGGAAGGCGTTCGCCACATGCCTCGGCGCCTCTGTCAGCTTGTCTTCCGTCTTCCATTCCCAGTCAAACGTGCAGACGTAGCGCGTCAACCAGGATCTGGAGGGGTGCTGAGGTGTTACGCCTCCGGCAACCCAGCTACATGGAGTCAGCGACTGCCGTGGGCGGAGTACGCCCACAACACCCTTCTCTGCTCGTCCACCGGCCTGTCCCCCTTCCAGTGCCAATACGGGTACCAACCCCCCCTATTCCCCAAGCAAGAGGAGGAGGCGGCGGTCCCGTCGGACCAGGCCCACAACAGTCGCTGCCGCCACACCTGGAGGCAGGTACAGGCGGCGCTTAAGCGGGCCTCGGTCAGGTCTCAACATCAGGCCAACCACAGGCGTTGCCCGGCCCTGGTCCTTCGCCCGGGACAGAGGGTGTGGCTCTCCAGGAAGCTGTCCCCCCGGTTCGTCGGGCCATTCAAATTGGTCCGGCGAGTCAACCCAGTGGCTTACCGCCTGCAACTTCCCCCCACCACGAGGGTGCATCCCACATTCCATGTGTCCCTCCTCAAGCCCGTCGCCACCTGTCCCCTGGCTCCCCCTCCTCGTCCTGTTCCCCCATCAACAGTGAAGCAGCGACTCTGGGATGCTGACCTTCTAGGCAGAGTTGCAAAGAAAAAGCCATATCTCAGACTGGCTAATAAAAAGAAAAAATTAAGATTGGCAGTCT